CCATATTATCTTAAAAGTGCCTGAAGTTCCTAAACCTGTCCTGGAAGAGGAAGTACCTGTTCCCAAAAAGGTGCCAACTCCACCAGCCAAAGGTACATATTATATTTAAAATAGCAATACAAAAAAACCATTTACATTGCTATTACTTGTCATCCTTATTCTTAAATGTTAGACACCAATATTGCTAAAGTAATTCGAAGTTTTCTGATATTTTATACCTTTCTGGATTGAGCTGAATAACTTAAAGAAAAAACATCTATCTTTCAATTTTTAAAAAAACCATCTCTTTTCAAAGTGCCTGAAGTTCCCAAACCAGTTCCAGAAGAAAAAGTACCTGTCCCCAAAAAAGTGCCACCTCCAAAAGCTAAAGGTATGTCTTATCTAAAGAGTAATATGAAGAAACATTAATATTACTTGTCATCCATGTTGTCATACAAGCATTAATATTACTTGTCATCCATGTTGTTAGACATGAATTGTGGTAGTTCAAAGTTTTGTGATGTCTTATGTGTTTGTACATGATGAGATGAAAATCTTTTTTAAAAATATCCTCCATACTATCTTTAAAAGTGCCTGAAGTTCCCGCACCTGTCCCAGAAGAGGAAGTGCCTATTTCCAAAAAAGTTCCAGCACCACCACCTGCCAAAGGTACCTGTAAAATTTGTAACAGTACTAAAAAGTTATAAATGTTGTCATTGCTTGTCACTGATATAGTCTATTGTCAGTATTTAAATTTTGTCATATCTTGTTTGTTGTCTATGTTGACACCAAAATCTTTTAAAAATTCTTATTATCTTTAAAACATATAGGATCGCAAATGAATTCCATAAACCAATCTGATTCCTCCTGTAAAGGCAACAACTCGCTGTGTCAAGTGTACATCCTGTCTTTAAAACCTCTTAAAACAAATAAATGTTGACTGTATTTGTCATTAATCTTTGTCAGTCAAGTACATAAAATCCGTATTCGTAGTTTAAACTTCTATTAAGTTTGTTCATGTTGACTTGAGTACATAATACTTAAAAAAAACCCATAATATTTTCAAAGTGCCTAAAGTTCCCAAACCTGTCCCAGAAGAGGAAGTCCCGGTTCCCAAAAAAGTGCCAGCTCCACCAGCCAAAGGTATATCTAATATTTATAACAGCATGAAAAACGCTAATGTTCAATCATATTCTTAAATATTAGTGTTGGAATATATTTTGTTGGAGTATATATTTTATACAACAGCTACAGTAATATTCAGCTAGTATATGGCAGAGTTTACAAGTTTGGATCTATAGTATAAACTTTATTTCCTTTTATTCTAAGAAAACTTTTCTGTTTCCTGTTATAGTTAAACAGTTAAGCAGTAAAGCACATGGTGACTGTACACTGTTTGATCTGTAGTGCTATATATAAACAGAATTTCTAACAATTAGACAACATAAACTAATAGTTCAATGTTTCATAGTATCTTCTGGTGACTTGTGACCAATATCATTTTTAAAAATTAAAAACTCTTTTTTTTAAAAGTGCCTGAAGTGCCCAAACCTGTCCCAGAAGAGAAAGTGCCCGTTCCCAAAAAGGTGCCAGCTCCTCCCGCTAAAGGTACAGGTGAAATTTGTAACACTGTGAAAACAAAATTATTTCACAATAATTCTTCTGTTAAGGGTTAAATGCCCTTATTAATGCTTCACATTCTTGAGTTGTCTTCTGCATTTGTCAATAGTAAATTGATAACAAAATCTTAAAATAAGAAAATCCTATATTTTTTAAAGTGCCTGAAGTTCCTATACCAGTCGTAGAAGAAGAAGAAGAAGAAGAAGAAGAAGTGCCCATTCCTAAAAGAGTGCCAGCTCCACCAGCCAAAGGTACATCTAACTTTTGAAAAAATAATATGGAAAGAACTTTAATATTGACGTGACTTGTCATCTTTATTCTTGAGCATAAGAAATAAATACTGGTACTTCACAAAGTTTTGTGGTGTCTTACATGTTTGTCCATGGTGGGTTGAGCTCAAAATCTTACAGACAAAAATCTGTCTTTCAATCCCAAGTTCCCAAACCTGTTCCAGAAGAGAAAATGCCTGTTGCTAAAAAGGTGCCAGCTCCACCAGCTAAAGGTACATATGAAATGTATAAGTCTATAAAAAATATAAATGTTGACAGTATCTGTGGCGTTCTTAAATTTTAAGCATTAATATCAGCACGAGATGTTTTGTGTTGTTTTGTCTGTTATCCAAGTTCTGTTCAAAATCTTTTTTTAAAATGCTTTATTTAAATTGTCTGCAATTGCCATCATGTTATGTGCAAAAAATGTTTCTTTCCTCTTAGAGGTGTTAGGTGCTCTTGCCAAATATTTAATACTTAAAATATCTTGAAAACAAATAAACGTGGGGAGTATATATCATTAATATTTTAAGTTTCAAGCACCTACACTAATGCTGCAAGCTTTTAGGTCTTCCATATTTATTTGTGTTGATCTGAAATAAATAAAAAATATTCATTCTAAAAAAAAAAACATACTTTCTTTCAAGTCCCTGAAGTTCCCAAAGTAGTGGAGGAAGAAGAAATATTTGAAGTTCCCAAAAGAGTGCCAGCTCCACCAGCCAAAGGTACATCTAACTTTTGAAAAAATAATATGGAAAGAACTTTAATATTGACGTGACTTGTCATCTTTATTCTTGAGCATAAGAAATAAATACTGGTACTTCACAAAGTTTTGTGGTGTCTTACATGTTTGTCCATGGTGAGTTGAGTTCAAAATCTTACAGACAAAAATCTGTCTTTCAATCCCAAGTTCCCAAACCTGTTCCAGAAGAGAAAATGCCTGTTGCTAAAAAGGTGCCAGCTCCGCCAGTTAAAGGTACATATGAAATGTATAAGTCTATGAAAAATATAAATGTCGACAGTATCTGTGGCGTTCTTAAATTTTAAGCATTAATATCAGCACAAGATGTTTTGTGTTGTTTTGTCTGTTATCCAAGTTCTGTTCAAAATCTTTTTTAAAAATGCTTTATTTAAATTGTCTGCAATTGCCATGTTATGTGCAAAAATGTTTCTTTCCTCTTAGAGGTGTTAGGTGCTCTTGCCAAATATTTATCTTGAAAACAAATAAATGTGGGGAGTATATATCATTAATATTTTAAGTTTCAAGCACCTACACTAGTGCTGCAAGCTTTTAGGTCTTCCATATTTGTTTGTGTTGATCTGAAATAAATAAAAAATATTCATTCTTAAAAAAACCCATACTTTCTTTCAAGTCCCTGAAGTTCCCAAAGTAGTGGAGGAAGAAGAAATATTTGAAGTTCCCAAAAAAGTGCCAGCTCCACCAGCCAAAGGTACATCTAATATTTATAACAAAGGACTAATTTTGGCATTCCTTATCATTCAAATGCCTAACGATGAGTCACCAATATCAGTAGTCCAGAAGTTTGTGAAGTCTTACATGTTTGTTGTCCCTAGTGAACTGGGCTCAAAATCTTATAGAAAATACATCTATTTTTCAAATCCCTTCAGTTTCCAAACCTGTTCCTGAAAAACTGCCAGCTCTATCTGTTGAGTGTTGTATAGAATATTTATAGTAGTTGAAGGGAAATGTTGATGTTAGCTATCATACATCTTCTTAAATATTAAATACCAATTTCTGTTGAAAAATATCTAACAGCTTGTATGCTAGTCCATACTGATTTGAGATCAAACCTTTAAAAAGGAACTATCTCTTTTTAAAGTGCCTGAAGTTCCCAAGCCTGTCCCAGAAGAAAAAGTAGCTGTTCCCAAAAAAGTACCAGCTCCACCAGCCAAAGGTACATGTGAAACTTGAAAGAAGTATGAAAGAAAATACTATGATGATGTTGCTAGTCATGTATCTTCTTCAGTTGAATGTTAAACAACAAAATCAATAACTTAAAAGTTTTACTGTGTCTTTGTATTGTCTATCCATGTTGACTTGAGACCTACATCTTTTTTTTTTTAATCTTCCTATCGTAAAAGTGCCAAAGGTTTCCAGATATGTCCAGGAAGATAAAATGCCTATTCTCAAAGAAAGACCCATACCATGCTTCAAATATTTATGATAGTATGAAAAAAAAATGAATTACTTGTCATCCATATCCTTAAACATTGGACAAAAATCTTGCTAGTTCAAAGTTTTGTGCTATCTTGTATGTTTGTCTATAGTAAGTTGAACTCTATATCTTAAAGAAGAAAAAAAAAACCTCTTTCAAGTCTTTGAAATTTCCAATCTTGTTCCAGAAGAAGTGCCAAAAGTTCCCCAAATATATACCAGCTCCACCAGTTAAAGTTTGTTTCCACTAATTTTCGAAACTGTGAGGGTGGGGTGGGGGGAATGACATTATCTGTCACTGTTATTCTCCAGTTAAGAGCAGAACAACATCAATAGTTGTGAGAGAATTTGAGGAGGCTAAAGTAGAAACAGGAGGAATTTAGACAGAAACCATCCACAATTAATGGAGAGGTTCAACTGTAACTCAGTCTGAGTTCTGAAAAGCCTAGAAAGAAGAGTAAGAGTCCATTTCAATCAACTCATTAATAAAAGAGAATGGATGGTTACTGTTGCCTTTTCCAGGATTCTTTAACTCTTGCATTAAAGACCTTCATAATGTCTACGTGCTTCTTTCTTCCTTGATCATGCGATGCAATATTGGGCTTGAAGGTTCTTCAGTGTTTTGTAATGTCTTCTACTGTATGTTTCACTTTGGTGACTTGAGAACAAAATCTTTATTAAAAATCGTTAAATCTTTTTTTTCCAAGTCCCTGAAGTTCCAAAACTTGTTCCAGAAGAGAAAGTGCCAGTTCCCAAAAAGGTGCCCACCTCCACCAGCCAAGGTACAGATGAAATTTGTAACCCTGTGGAAAAAAAGTTGACAATATATATCACTTATATTCTTTAGTTAAGGGTTAAATACAAAGAACAGAAGATTCAGGGTTTTGCATTGTTTTCTATATTTGTCCATGGTGAACTAAGAACAAAATCTTGAAATAAGAAAACCATCTCTTTTTAAAGTGCCTGAAGTTCCCAAAGCTGTCCCAGAAGAGAAAGTGCCAGTTCCCAAAAAGGTGCCGCCTCCACCAGCCAAAGGTACAGATGAAATTTGTAACCCTGTGGAAAAAAAGTTGACAATATCTATCACTTATATTCTTTAGTTAAGGATTAAATACAAAGAACAGAAGATTCAGGGTTTTGCATTGTTTTCTATATTTGTCCATGGTGAACTAAGAACAAAATCTTGAAATAAGAAAACCATCTCTTTTTAAAGTGCCTGAAGTTCCCAAAGCTGTCCAGAAGAGAAAGTGCCTGTTCCCAAAAAAGTGCCACCTCCACCAGCCAAAGGTACCTCTATCATTTGTAACAATAACAGGAAAACATTAAGATTAAAATTTCTTGTCATCCATATTGTTTAGCATTAAACACCAGCATTCATAGTCCAAAACTGAGTAATGTCTTATATGTTTATCGATGGTGGGATGAGCTCAACATCTTAAAAGAAAATGTATCTGTCTTTCAATCCCTGAAGTTCCCAAACCTGTCCCAGAAGAGGAAGTGCCAGTTCCTAAAAAAGTGCCAGCTCCACCAGCCAAAGGTACATATAGTATGTGTAATAGTATGTGACATAACTTGCAATCCTTATTCTTAAGTATTAGACACCAATATTGGTAGGTCAAAATCTTGTGATGTCTTATGTGTTTGTCAATGTTGCCTTGAGACCAAAATCTTTTTAAAAAATCCTCTATACTATCTTTAAAGTGCCTGAAGTTCCCAAACCTGTCCCAGAAGAGAAAGTGCCTATTCCCAAAAAAGTGCCACCTCCAGCAGCCAAAGGTATATCTAACATTTAAAATTATTTATTCTTATTCTTAAGTGGTAGACACCAATATTGTCTATTCTTAAGTAGACATCAATATACTATTCAAAGTTTTTGGGTATCTTATATGTTTGTCCATGTTGAGTTGAGCTCAAAATCTTTAAGAAAAAAAATGCTTTCTTTCAATTCCTGAAGTTCCCAAACCTGTTCCAGAAGAGGAAGTGCCCATTCCCAAAAAGGTGCCAGCTCCACCAGCCAAGGGTACGTCTAAGATTTATAATACTAAGAAAGAACATCAAGATTGGAATTGCTTGCCATCTATATCCTTAAGTGTTAAGTTTTGCTATGGTAGTTCAAAGTTTCTGGTATTTTATGTTTGTCCATGGTAAGTTGAGCTCAAAATCTCTAAGAAAAAAAAAAATCTTTCAATTTCTGAACTTATATGTTTCTTCATGGTGAGTTGAGCTCAATATCTTTAAGAACAAAAAAAATGTATTTTTAAATTCCTGAACTTCCCAAACCTGTCCCAGAAGAGGAAGTGCCAGTTCCAAAAAACTTCCATTATCCAAAGGCATATTCACCATTTTTAAAAGTAGTATAAAAACATTACTTCTCTTCCTTCTTCTTAAGCATTAGGCACCAATATTGGTCATTGAAAGTGTTGTGATGTCTTATGTGTTTGTCCATGTTGACCCCACACCAAAGTATATACAAAAATATCCTCTGTACTATCTTATAAGTGCCTGAAGTTCCCAAACTTGTCCTGGAAGAGAAAGTATCTGTTCCTAAAGAGGTGCCAGCTTCACCAACCAAAAGTATATCTAATTTTTTGCTATAGTAATATGAAAAAGATTAATGTTGACAATACTTGGTATTCTTATTCTTAAAAAGATTAGACACCAATGTTAGTAGGTATTGTGATGTCTTATGTGTTTGCCAATGATGAGTTAAGCTCAATATCTTTAAGAAAAAATATCTATCTTTCAATTCTTAAAGTTCCCAAGCCTGTTCCAGAAGAGAAAGTGCCTGTTCCCAAAAAAGTGCCACCTACACCAGCCAAAGGTACATCTAACATTTTGAATCTCTGCAGAAAAAACTATATTGATTCAAATTCAAGGGGACAGGATTGAGTTGTACAACAGCATACATGATCTGGACTATGTTTTTCCGTTCCCCAAATTGCCGAATCAGAGGATACCCAATGAAATTGAATCCTGGTAGAATCCAAACAAACAAAAGAAAATGTATTTTTATACAACACATAATTCAACTTTGGAATTTGGAATCATGAAATGTAATGCTGGCTACCAGTTTGGCTAGCTTTAAATAAGGGTTGGATCGAGTCTTGGAAGTCAAGGGGGATCAATGGCTATTAGCTCTGATGGCACTATGGCTGCCTCCGAAAGCCATCTGCTAGGAGATCTTTGGGCTTCCTTATGCAGTTGAGTAGCCACTATGAGGACCCATGCTGGACTAGATGGGCTAAGGGTGTGATTCACAGGGAATTGCTTATGTTCTTATGCTCTTAAATGATGCTACCTGTTACATTCTAAAATATTAAGCACCAGTATCAACCATTCAGAATTTGTTGATTCTATATGTTTGATCATTAAAAAAACTCACCTCTGTACTATCTTTAAAGTGCCTGGAGCTCCTAAACCTGTTCCAGAAGAGAAAATGCCACTTCCTCCAGCCAATATTTATATCTATATAAATATTGGAATCATTCACCTTGTCACTGATGTATCATTTCTGTGCTCAAAAAAACCCAAAGCTATTAAAGAGTATATCCAATTTCTCTCCATATTGCCAGTGGACTCATAATTTAAGATATCTGATGTGTCCAAGGAAGTCTTTCTTGAAAGGAACGTACCCATTACTCCATCAAAAAAAAAAAAAAGTTCAATCCATTTATGAAAGGCACAATGCTTACCTGGTTAAAATTTTATTCCACAGTATTAAACTTGGTATATACAGTATACTTTATTGTCTATCAAATATATGTCAATAATGTGTATGTCAAATGTTTGCAAACAAAAACCCCATGAATGCAGGTTGTGTTTCATGTTGCTTTCTTATTCTTTTATTGCAAATCAATGACTATGTAACCAGTTGCAGTCCTCTCAACAACTATAGAATTTACTAGATGACTTGGGATTGTCACTATCTCACAGGGCTCTTGTAAGAATAAAATGAGTTAGACCTAATCTGAACTCTCAAAGCAAAGTAGAATGTAAAGTTAAATAAAAGTAAAAAAAGAGAGAATGAGATTCATATCGAAAATTATTTGCTGCTACATGAAAAGACATTTGGTATCTAATAAAACATTGGCATTTCCTGACAAAGATTTGGCAAAGATTTTTTCCTCATAATCTTTCATAATGCCTTCCAGTTTATTTCTGCTGACTAACAATATTGTATGCCAGTTAGGTTACATGCTTTTTTTTAGAATAAGGTATTATAATTATTTGACATCTGTGGGTGCTTTTAGTTTCACTTTGTTTTGAATGGTTTTTATGCAGTCTTTGAAATAATGGCAAGTTAATTGTCTTTAAAGTGCCTGTGATAAGAAAGAAGATTGTCCATAAGGAAAAGGTCACTGCTCCTGCTCCTACTGCTGAAGAATATATTTATGAAGAATATGAGAAGTATGAAACATATGAGAAGGCTGAGGAATACTTGCCAGCCGAAGAAGTTGAAGAAGAATATGCAGAAGTGCCAGAAGAACCTGAAGTTGAGCATTATGAGGAAGTTTCAGAAGAACCTGAAGCTGAGTATTACAAGGAAGCTCCAGAAGAACCTGAAACTGAAGAGTATAAGGAAACAGTGGAAACAGAGGAATATGAGTATTATGAAGAGGTTAAGGAGACAGAAGAATATGAGGAAGTGTATGAGGTTCCACCAGCCATAGGTACATCAATTCTTTTATCTGTTGTGTCTTGACTAGATTGTCTTTAAATATCTTTATTCCACCAACCCCCATTTACTGATTGTATATAGAAGGTTCCATGTGAGAATGTAGATCAAACCAACTCTCCTGTTGTTACTGGGAATTTTCAAGATAAAATATGGTTATATAGTTATTTATGTATCACATTTAGAAACCGTGTATCTCTCTCATAGAGGGACTCTGGACAGTGTACAAATAAATTCTATTATACAGAGAGCTTTCATAAGCATGAAGGAGAATGAAATAGGGAGAAGCTAATAAATAAATATCCCCCCCCCCCCACCAGCTATCTCCCTCGCCCCAAGTCACTGCAATATGCTCACTTTAGGAGAAGTTGTATTTAGGATCAATTTCATAACTTAAATCCTTCCTTTAACAAAATGATAGTTACATAACTTTCCCTTTTTCTCTCCTACCCGCCCCCCCCGCCCCCATTTTGTACCTTTGAGTTGGTCTCAACTCCTGACTAAATGCATTAGTCTGCAGATTTCCTGGCAACATATTTTTGGAAGTGTTTTGCCCTGCCTACAAGTCCAAAGGATTGTACCTAGGAGAGAAATATAGATAAATTATTATCACATTTTTTTCTGGAACCCTGAGTCTTCATGTTTCTTTATTAAAGGATCATATTCTTTATATTTCCTTTTTCATTAGCATTCTTGATAAAAGCTGGGCCAATTAATTTAATTGTTTAAGTTTGAGGAATATATGTATTAAATTAACTATGTTTTCCTACTACTATCACCATTTATTCATGGGCTTTGAGATTCATGGGTTTTGAGAATTCATGCTAAATATCTGAAGAAGGGAAAAAAATCATAGAAGGGGAAAAAATCCGGAACATAAGTTTGAACCCCAACATTTTGGCTCAAGACCAGAAGGCATTTCTACATGTGCTAGAGCAGTGCAACTTTAAAATGTGTGGCCTTCAATGCCACACATATTAAAGTTCCTGGGGTTGAGAAACACTGTGCCAGAGAGTTGTCCAATTGTCAAATGCAGCCCCATTCTCCCTTCCTGTCCAATCCTCAACTATTTTAAGAATTTTTTTATTTTGTGATTGGAATGATTCCCCACCATGAATTTGTCTCTTTTTTGCTTCTCCCTAAAATCTGAATGTGAGACACTCAATTTGTTCTTCTTCATTGTTGACTAATCCCTAATTCAATGGCTGAATAAGTATTTAAAAAAGAAATTCATCTTTTTAAAGTGCCTGAAGTTCAGAAGCCAGTCCCAAAAGAAAAGGTATCAACTGCTGTTCCTAAAAAAGAAGTGGCACCTCCACCTAAAGGTACTCTTTTTCTTCAGCTATCATGATGATATAAATTCTGACTTAATTGCTGATATTCTATATCTTCTCTCTTTGCCTTGTATGTATTGATTATGTCAAATTATGTGCTCACTAAGTGTGATCTTGTGTTCTGTTCTTTCCTCATTATTAAGTAACATTCTTCTCAGAATCCTATACAAATCAATAACTAAAAAAGATATCTGTATCTTTAAAGTGCCTGAAGTGCCCAAGAAAGCTGTTCCTGAGGAGAAGGTGCCTAAGCCTGTTCCAAAAAGAAAAGAGCCTTTACCACCTAAAGGTACATTGAATATTGACGAGAAAGAAGATTAAAATCTTATATTTATTTTCATCTGTTTGGTGTTAATGATATTGCCCTAGTTTTGTTTCTGTCTGGACATTATTCTCCCAGGCCTTGGATAAGGGTGCTTGGTGGCCCCTTTGTTGGATGTCAATTGTCGGTGGGAGGATTTGGGGTTCCCTGAATTCACCATTTTTTGTCTTCTTCCTTTGTGATATCTGATTGTATTGTTCTTTTGTTTCAGTTGTACTGTTTTTGTATTGTTTTGGCACATTGTGACAAAGATTCATTATTGAAATCCTAATTTAAATGTGAAGTATCTTATCAAACAAAGCAGTGCTAGCAGCCATCATGTGATCAGCAATATACTAATTCATTTTTGGCTGCAAAATTAATTGCTCCGCCTGCTAATCATTGTATTTTGAAAAGGAAAGTACAATCATGGCTTTTCTTCTTTTTTGTTCCCTTTTAGGTTATTTTTTTTTTTTACTATTGTTGTTCTTTGATGCTGTTTTTGTGTTTTTCCCCCTTTGTCCTTTGTTTGAACAATTGTAAACCACCCTGAAACACTAGTAGTCAGGTAGCATATATATTTAATATATTATTATTATTATTATTATTATTGACATAGAAAGCAAATAATTAATGAATTATCTTTTTGAGAGTTTTAATTTGAGCTTTAGTTATCATGGATTACATGTCTTCTTATCTGTTGTTTGAATGCTGTCTGTCTAATCTGTTGTTTGTGTGCATCATTTTGAAATTTCTACTAATATCTTTAAAGTGTATGAACTGGAAGAGGAAGCTCTTCCAGAAGAAAAGATACCAACTGGCATTCCTGCAAAAGACAAAGCTCCTCCAGCTAAAGGTACATCAGTTCCTATACACATTTCTCAAGCAATCAACCCTTCTTAAAGTGCCTTCTCAGTCTTTTCTTGCCTGCCCACTTCCCTGTTTGTCTAATATTCTATGTTTGTCTCTATACTCAAAAAGAAACTAATATCTCTGATGTGTCTTCAGTGGCCAAGAAAGATGTGCTAGAAAAGAAGAAACCCGTCCCTAAGGAAGAAGTGACACTCATCCAAGGTAACATCTTCAAGCTGCAAATGGAATAACAGTTGATGATTCTTCATTTTCCTCTATTAATCTCTTTTAGAATCAAAGATTTAATGGAAGGTGGATGGATTCATTGCATTTTTTAAAAGTCTACAATTTTATAGAATAATCAAATGAGATATAATTCAGTACTGAGAATCTAATATCTCCATTAGATTGGGTGCTTCCCCAGTCACGGGAGGCAACACCTGCAGTCAATAATAATATCTCTTTATATAGATCTCAATTTACTTTGAGACAACTGAATAAAAATTATAACAGATTCCTCAATGCCTTTTTAGGGAGAAAACATCTATCTTCTAAAACATTAGTCTAAAGTTAAATGCATCTTTTCAATTAACTTGATGAAATTATCATCAGTCTTATATCCATGCTGGCATGGGATGATGTAGATTGTAGTAGGACAGTCCTAGAAAACAATGATTTGAGGAAAATTGCCCAAGAAAATACAATTAGGTTTGCAGATTTATAGAATAGTATATTAATCTATCATGTCAGCCCATCAACATGAAAAAAACTGGCTGACCTAAAAATCAAAACCACAATTTTATTATTAATTTTTGCATAGAAAAAACAATATAAGGAAAATAAAAGACCAGTGAAATATGTATGTTGTTGTAACTGTTTGTCTGTTATTTACATTAACCTCTTATTTTAAAAAAAATACTAATATCTTTAAAGCACCTGAGATTCAAGAGAAGAAGATTCCTCAAAAAATAATTTCTATTGCACGGACTCCTAAATCACAGGAACTTCCAGCATCTAAAGGTATATCAGCTCTTCATGAACATAATCATAAAATAAATGAATTTCAAGGCAATTTAATCAAGTACGTTATCATATATTTCTGGATTTTGTGTTTGGTTGACATAAATTGTTCATATTGTCAGGGTGTTTTTTTTTTTACATTAAAAAAGAAACTCTTGCAGAAATTAATATCTTTAAAAGAACTCTGTGATATGAAAGGTTGATTTTTTTTTATTACAATCAAAGACCAGTACAACTCTGAGATATCAAACAGAGAGAGAGAGAGAGAGAGAGAGAGAGAGGAGAGAGAAAGAAAATTCTTAACTATGGAAGAGAATTCGCTTATTAAAAGATTGAATCTGAATAAGTTTGTTGCAAGCACATCTAACTTGTGATCGAGTATTTTTATAGGGGAATCAATTATTTAATCTAACAACTGACCTACTTCAGATATTATGAACAAATCTGAATCTTAACATAGAATGCCAGATCTTCTTTTTGTTCATAGTCCTTTGCTTTCTTTTTTTCCAAAACTGTTCAAAGTATGAGTTGTATGTCAAAAGAAATAATATTTTTAAGTGGCAGAAACCTATGAGGAAATCCTCCTAGAAGAAAAAGAAGAAGGAGTTCCAGATATCATTTCTGGGAAAGAAAAGATTCTGTCTTTCAAAGGTACATAATCTCTCCAAAGAGTACATAGACCAACAAAATCACCAAACTATTGAAAATGTTCCATTATTTTATCTGTACAGTTTCATGCTGCCATTTGCATTTTGTGTTTTACAAATTCTTACAAGAATTAATTTTATTTAAAGTGTCCAAGGTATCCAGAAAAGGGATGGCAGAAGAGAAGATACCTGTTGCAAAAGTTGAAAAACCAGAGACGGTTTCTCTATATAAAAAAGGAGAATCCACTGCTGAAATTAAAACAATACAACCTCAAATATCAGAAGAGAAAAAAATTGTTGCTAAAACTCCCAAACCAGAATCCATCATTAAATCTAAACCAGTAGAGCCTCAGGTACCAGAACAGAAGAAAACTGTCTTTAAAACTAGAAAACAAGAATTCACTGAATTGCTAGAAGTAGTAGAGAAAGTGCCAGAGAAGAAGGCAGCCACTACTAAGCCTAGAAAACCCCAAATTGTAGAACTCGAAGAAGAAATAACTGAACCTCAGCTGCCCCAAAGGAAAATAGCAGTTACTAAATCTAAAAAAGCTGAGCCCCTTACGGAGCAGAAAATGGTGGACTCGCAGGTGCCTCAACAGAAGATAACTCCCACAGAACCTAGGAAAAAAGAGCATGCTGGGGTTCCTGAAATACTCAAGGTTGAAGTGGAAGAACTGAGGGAAAGAATTGCTAAACCTTCCAAACCAGAACTTATAGTGACACCTGAAACCACAGAACTTGTACCAAGAAAAACAGTAGTCATTACTAAACCTAAAAAATCAGAGATTATTGCAGTAGATAAAACTGTGGAATCTAAACAGAAGATTGTAGTTGCCAAACGAAAAATAGCAGAACCTGCAGTAGTGCCAGAAGCAATAGAGTTCAAGACAGAAGAGGAAGAGGAGGAAGAAAAAGAAATTACTATTGCTAAACCCCCCAAACCAGAACATGATGTGATACCAAAAACCACAGAACACATACAAGGAAAAAAGGTAGTAATTACAAAACCTAAAAAACCAGAGACTATTGCAATAGATAAAACCATGGAATCTAAAAAGAAAATTGTGGTTCCCAGACGAAAAAAACCAGAACATGCAGTGGTGCCGGAAGCAATAGATTTCCAGAAAAAAGAGGAGGAGGAGGAGGAGGAGGAGGAAGAAGAAGAAATTACAATTGCTAAAGCCCCCAAACCAGAAACTGTGGTGATACCTGAAATCACAGAACACATACCAGAAAAAACATTAGTAATTACTAAAGCTAAAAAAACAGAGACTATTCCAGTAGATAAAATTGTGGAATCTAAACAGAAGATTAAGATTGCCAAACCAAGAAAACTAGAATCTGCAATGGTGCCAGAAGCAATAGAGTTCAAAAAGGAAGAGGAGAAAGAGGAGGAGGAGGAGGAAGAAGAAGAAGAAAAACAAATTACTATTGCTAAACCCCCAAACCAGAACTTATGCCGACACCGAAAACCACAGAACACATACAAGGAAAAAAGGTAGTAATTACAAAACCTAAAAAACCAGAGACTATTGCAATAGATAAAACCATGGAATCTAAAAAGAAAATTGTGGTTCCTAGACGAAAAAAAACAGAACATGCAGTGGTGCCGGAAGCAATAGATTTCCAGAAAGAAGAGGAGGAGGAGGAGGAAGAAAAAGAAATTACAATTGCTAAAGCCCCCAAATCAGAAACTTTGGTAATACCTGAAATCACAGAACACATACCAGGAAAAACATTAGTAATTACTAAACCTAAAAAACAAGATACTATTACAGTAGATAAAATTGTGGAATCTAAACAGAAGATTGATATTGCCAAACCGAGAAAACCAGAATCCACAGTTGTGCCAGAAGCAATAGAGTTTAAAAAAGAAGAGGAGGAAGCGGAGGAGAAGGAAGAAGAAGGAGAAGAAAAACAAATTACTATTGCTAAACCCCCCAAACCAGAAGATACAGAACACATACAAAGAAAAAAGATAGTAATTACTAAACCTAAAAAACCAGAGACTATTGCAATAGATAAAACAGAGGAGTCTAAAAAGAAAATTGTGGTTGCCAGACGAAAAAAACCAGAAGCTGCAGCAATAGACTTCAAGAAGGAGGAAGAGGAAGAGGAGGAGGAGGAGGAGGAAGAGGAAGAAGAAGAAGAAGAAATTACTATTTCTAAAGCCCCCAAACCAGAACATGTGGTGATAGCTGAAACCACAGAACATATACCAGAAAAAACATTAGTAATTACTAAACTTAAAAAAACAGAGACTATTGCAGTAGATAAAGCTGTGGAATCTAAACCAGAATCTGCAGTGGTGCCAAAAGTAATAGAGTTCAAAAAGGAAGAGGAGGAAGCAGGGGAGGAGGAGGAAGGAGAAGGAGAAGGAGAAGGAGAAGGAGAAGAAAAACAAATTACTATTGCTAAACCCCCAAACCAGAAGTTACAGAACACATACAAAGAAAAAAGGTAGTAATTACTAAACCTAAAAAACCAGAGACTATTGCAATAGATAAAACCGAGGAGTCTAAAAAGAAAATTGTGGTTGCCAGACGAAAAAAATCAGAACCTGCAGCAATAGATTTCAAGAAGGAGGAAGAGGAGGAGGAGGAGGAGGAAGAGGAAGAAGAAGAAGAAGAAATTACTATTGCTAAAGCCCCCAAACCAGAACATGTGGTGATAGCTGAAACCACAGAACATATACCAGAAAAAACATTAGTAATTACTAAACTTAAAAAAACAGAGACTATTGCAGTAGATAAAGCTGTGGAATCTAAACAGAAGATTGATATTGCCAAACCAGAATCTGCAGTGGTGCCAAAAGCAATAGAGTTCAAAAAGGAAGAGGAAGAAGCAGGGGAGGAGGAAGGAGAAGGAGAAGGAGAAGAAAAACAAATTACTATTGCTAAACCCCTCAAACCAGAAGTTACAGAACACATAAAAAGAAAAAAGATAGTAATTACTAAACCTAAAAAACCAGAAACTATTGCAATAGATAAAACTGTGGAGTCTAAAAAGGAAATTGTGGTTGCCAGACGAAAAAAACCAGAAGCTGCAGCAATAGATTTCAAAAAGGAGGAAGAGCAAGAGGAGGAGGAGGAGAAGGAGGAAGAGGAAGAAGATGAAGAAGAAATTACTATTGCTAAAGCCCCCAAACCAGAACATGTGGTGATAGCTGAAGCCACAGAACATATACCAGAAAAAACATTAGTAATTACTAAACTTAAAAAAACAGAGACTATTGCAGTAGATAAAGCTGTGGAATCTAAACAGAACATTATGGTGCCCAGTCTCAAAAAATCAGAATCCGCAGTGGTGCCAGAAGCAATAGAGTTCAAGACAGAAGAGGAGGAAGAGGAGGAGGAGGAAGAAGAAGAAATTACTACTGCTAAACTCCACAAACCAGAACCTATGGTGAAACATGAAAAAGTTGAAACTCAAGTGTCTGAAAAGAAGAAAACTATGATTACACCTAAAAAACCAATTACAATGCCCAAAACATTAAAAGTGGAAGAAGAAAAACTAGTATCTGCCAAACCTGAAGCTATTGCAGTAGTTGAACTCGAAAAGCAGCAAAAAAGAGAAGAAAAGAAGAGAACTCATGCTAAACTCCCCAAAACTGAACCTATGATTACACGTGAAACGGTAGATCACCCAGAGCCAGAAAACAAGATAGCTGTTGCTAAAGCTAAACCACCTGAGCCTATTATCATCCCCCAAAAAGTGGAACCCCATGTACCAAAACAAAAGATAACTGCAACCAAACCTAGAAAACCAGAATCCTTTGTGCTGACTGAGGCAGTAGAGCTTGAAGCAGTAGAAGAAAAGATAGCTATAGCACAGCCTCAGGAACTAGAACATGTGAGCCTTGAACCAGTAGAACCTCCAAAACATGAAAAAAAGAAACAGATCATGAAATCCAAGAAAGCTATTATAGAGCCTAAAGAAGCAGAGCAAAAAAAGGAAGGAATAAAATTAACTATCGCCAAACCCAGAAAACCAGAACCCTTTGAGTCATTAGTGATTGAGGTGGAAGAAGAGGCAGCCATTTCCAAACCCCAAAAATCTGAACATTATGTCTTGCTTGAAAGAGAACTTCTGGTACCTGAAGGGAAGAAAAGTATAGCTAAACCTAAGACAACTGTTAAAGTGTCTAAAACATTAGTAGAAGAAGAAAAGATTGCTATTTCCCAGCCCAGGAAAGAAGAAGTCTTGATGGTGCCAGAAATAATGCAATTAGAAGAAGAGGAAGAAGAACTAGAAGAAAAAGAATTGCCTCAAAAATTAGAAGAAAAGGTGATTGTTGCTAAACCTAAAAAAAGAAAACCTGAAACCATAGAACCTTCGCCAATAAAAGGTAGATGTTATCTTCAAAAACAAAATGCACTCATATCTTAATAAATGTTTGTCTAGTTTTGTGTGGAAGGTATGTCTCCTTGAAAATATGTTTTTGTATCTGTACAAATTCCTTGTCTTATAACTTGGAACTGTGAATATGTGAAAGTCATGTCACTTTCATGTCTTGTCATGTCACATTTGACTTAGTGTCAGATCTTGTTGTCTCTTGTTGTCTTGTTGATAATTATTGGTGTGATATCTTTTTCCATGTATGTAATTTACACCGTCTAATATATTTTAAATATCTGATATATACAAGATGTAGATGTTATCTTCAAAAGCAAAATACACTCTTATCTTAATAAGTGTTTGTCTAGTTTTGTACGGAAGAAATGTCTCCTTGAAAATATGTTTTTGTATCTGTACACATTCCTTGTCTTATAACTTGGAACTGTGCATATGTGAAAGTCATGTCAAACTTAGTGTCAATTCTTGTTGTCTCTTGTTGTCTTGTTGATAATTATTGATGTTTATCTTTTTTCCATTTATGTAATTAACACTAATATATTTTAAATATTTGATATATAGAAGAAAACTGCAAAATATTTTTTAGGGCTGAGGAGCGATAATTTTACAACATGGACATTGCAGATATTTTGAAATCTTTTATATTTTCAGTTGAGTTCAGTCATGTCCATCAACTAATAGAGAAACATCCAAAGTCTCAGATGAGAGCATATTTGCTTAGGTAAATGGATCACCCACAATTGAATGAGCTGCAGCTAAAAATTTGTATCTCAATTCCTTAGTTACTCAAAAGATTTATCATATTTATCGCCTGACCATGCAATATTTCTTCATAACTCTTGAAGATGTCCTCAGGGATGACTTGTTCATGATAATTGGAAGGATCCTGAATGTTTCTTCATGTGATTTTACTACCAGTATTCTTGACCTTCTGTCTTTCTGTCATTTTTTGTCTATTTGAACAAGAAATCTTTTCTTTATACTGTGAGAAAACTATTTGAAATTCTTTAAGCTAAAACATACTAATATCTTTAAAGTTCCTGAGATGCCCAAGAAAGTTGTGCTGGAAGAGAAAGTAATTGTTGCTGTGCCTAAAAAACCAGAGCCACCGTCCCCTGCTAAAGGTACATCCCACGCTTAATGTCATTCTGAGAAAATTGTGCTGTTTTTTCCCCTCAGTCTTGAAAATTCAGTTTTTATACTTTTATACTTGTATAACTTAATTTTTTTTAATCTGAAATCTTGAAATACCGTAAGTATTAAAATAATGCTGAGTTATCAGTGCCAAAGTCCATTTTATAATTCCTTTTCACTTATGTTTTAACGTACTGAAATGTAACAGAAAACAATACTATTTCTTTAAAGTGCCTGAAGTGCCTAAGAAAGCAGTCCCAGAAGAGAAGGTACCAGCTGCTGTTCCAGAAGCACCTCCAGCCAAAGGTACATCTTATTAAAAATAACCCTGATGGATAGTATATATTTGTTTTATAAATGTACATTGCTACTTTATGTTTTGTAGATTATTGTTTCTGAACCCTGTTACTGGCATATAAAAACAGAACATTCTGCCTCTTCGCCTGTCTTACAAAACCATTTATATTTGAGCTAATGACATATGTTTGTTCAGGATTTATAGCACTGCTTGAGACAGAGACAAATTCCTTGTGTATCCAATCACACTTGGCCAATAACGAATTATATATAAATTTCCTAAGGATGTACACAATAAATAAATTAAGCTTATGTATGACTGAATGTGGCATACAAGCGAAGAGACTAGCACAATTGATGTTTATCTAAGAAGAAGCTCCATTGAGCTTCAGTGGAATTTACTTTTAAATAGGCATTTATAAGATTACCTTATACAGAGCCTGAAGAAATGTCATGTTATTCACTGCTTGACAATGGAATAAGATGACATTTAGCCCCAGTTGATTCACCCTAGGGAGAATCTGATTGATTGTAATTTAAGATTCCTTGTTGAGATTTTTGTCAAGAGCCATGAGGCTGAGATTTCATGAAAATTACATTAATAAACACATAAACTAACTGATGCATCGCAGTTAAGATATTTGTCTCCCCAGTTACCATGTCCAAATGGGAGGAAGCATTTAAAGTATATGTTGCATAGTGTGTTTTGGTGTGCTTATACTTATTTTATTAGATATTCCTCCTCCTGTGTTCAAAGAGAGCTTAAACTAAGTGAGCAAAACCTGAAGCCTTCACCATTGCTTTCATTATATATATGTTTACCACAGGGGTGGGTTCTACTTACCTTTACTACCG